CGGAAGAGGAAAGACGAGCCACTATCCTCGGCCGGTATAATGGACTCGCCTCGACGACTCTCCATTCCACACATTCTTTTAGATACGCGAATACTACGGTTATAGCATCAGCAGCAATAACAACAGTATTAACAACAACAGGAAATGACAATAACAACAGATTCAGCAGTGCAGTAGCGTACGCGCGCGCGGGCACACGTATACGGGCAGGGATAACTCGAAGTATGCGGGGAATATTGCGAGTAAAGACCGAAGGGAAAAGCCGATGATAGCCGGATATGGTTGCGAGGATGTTTGCGTGGACACGCATACTTGCTATCGTCGCACGTTCTAGAAGTTTCGGCGGCAACTGCGATGCACTTAGGCCAAACCGCATGCGCGCTTGTCTTTTTTTCCACCGCTTTTTTCTTGAGCCACCTCCTTCCCTGACCACCCCGACCGCTTTTTGTTGTTTTCCCTCTCCTTTGGGAAAACCGGCGTCCGCGAACGCAAGAAACGGACTTCCGGAATAGACGACGTTCGTCGGCTACGGTCAATCGGTGTGCGAGAAGTTTCGTGTGTCGAGAGAGAAACACGTACGATTACTTGTCAGCTGATTTCTCGCCGAATTCAATGTCGCGATGGTGGCTCTGAGAATTAATCGCTACGTTTAATAATGCGTATTTGCCAGGCACAATTTTCACGTCCGCTTTATCAATCCCTCCAAACGTCATAGTTAAATGTATAATAATGATTATTCGACCGTTGGCTTAACGAACCTACGCATATGGCGTTGGAAATTTTGACTCTCCAGTAATTTCATAGAGCGCGATGGCTTTTAATGATTATTATAAGTAGCGCCAGAGCTCCTAATGTTATGGGAAAACTTTTTTTTAAAGCTTGCTATAGTAAAAGCTAAAGGTTGATGCGCGTTAAAGTGAGTTGAAATACTGGTTTCATAAAATCCGCGATCTAGGAATTAAAAGGATCGTTATTGCTCCGGAAAAGAGGGAACGTTAGACTCTATAAAGATAGTCTATAGATACTCTATGAAGATACGCGTACTTGTATAGGACAAAAGAGAAAAGCGGAAAAGATATGATGAAAAGGAAGAAAGACAGAAAAAAAAAACAATTGAATTTCTTAATAATCTAGAAGCGCCATAATGTACTTGAGTACGAGAAAAAATTTCCATGAATGCTCGCTTTCGTTTTCAAAATTTGCATAATTATCGTAAATTCTGGCCGAGGTGGGCCGTGTCGACGGAGTCGTGGACGGGGAATGTGTGTGCGCATGTTGCGAAGGGGCGCGGCGCGGCGGGGGAAGGAGGAGGCGGTTGAGGGAAGGGGGAGTGTGCTAGCGTCGAGGAAGAAAAGAAAAAAAGAGAAACGCTGTGCATTTATAATGGATACGAAGTGTGAAGCGTACCGAATGGAAGAGTGAAAAAGCGAAAATGCTTGGGCATCGAGGAGGAGAGTCGGCGCTAAATGTTCCTATACATGAACGATTAAGAGTGAATGTCGGATTGGCCGAGGGACAACACAGGGACTTGTCTTACAAAACTCCTTGAGAAAGCAGTTTCGCTTGCGCTCGTTGATAAACGCTGTCCATTTTCTCCAAAAATAGACCCGAGCGATAGGCGCATAATGCGAAAGAAACGCCGAGAAG